TATCATGATACACATCTATATATTCTGCCTTGTTCCAGAAAGGATCTGAGGTACTTCACAAAAGATGCTAATAGTTGATGATTTAAGTGAGAAAATGCGTAAGGAGAGGCGAAAATAAAGTAAAGAAAGGGGAAAGGGGATGCAAAAAATAAGAGCTGGATGTCTCACACCATTTGCTAGAGGTGAGCTTTAAATGTAGCTATGGACTTCCTAGAGCCCCGTACAAAAGAAAGGAAGCATAGCTGTGTACAGCCCTTTGGAACACTTGCTTTATTGAAATGCCACAGCAACGTGTAAGGAGGCGTCACCATCCAGTTGAGAATCACCCTGATTTGTCACACTCTTGCCAATTAGAATCCAATATCTGCTTACTCCTGATCACATGCCACTCTTACGTAAAATTAGTCTCCACTACTGACTATGTGACTTTGGGCCACTTACTTAATTAACCCTTTGAAGTCTCTGGTTGCTGTTCTTCTGTAACATGGAGGTTAAAAAATAGTACTTAAATGGATAGACAAAATGTAGCATATTCATTACCACAGAATATTATTCAGCCTTAAAAAGGAGAAATTCTGACCCATGGATGAACTTGAGGATATTATGCTCAGTGAAATAAGCCAGTCACAAAAAGACAAATATGGTATGATTCACTTAGATACAGAACCTAGAGTTGTCATATTCATAGAGAATGAAAGTAGAATGGAGAATGCCAGGGACTGGAGGAGAGGAGAACAGGTAGTTGTGGGTTAAAGGTACAAAGTTTCAGATTGCGAGATGAAAGAGGCCTGGAGACTTATTACACAGCAATATGAATGTATTTAACTAAAAATACAACAATTATCAGGGCCTGGTGGTGCATGCCTGTAATCCCAGTTACTCGGGAGGCTGAGGCAGGAGAATCGCTTGAACCCAGGAGGCGGAGGTTGCAGTGAGCCGAGATCGAGCCATTGCACTCCAGTCAGCCTGGGCGACAGAGCAAGACTCTGTCTAAAAAAGAAAGAAAGAAAAAAAAAGTTGATCCGAAACTGAGCTGACTACAGAGTTACTCCTGATGGCTGTGAAGCATCTGAGGCGACGTAATAGGTTGGTGTCTTCTGGGTCTCTGTCCTGCTTTGGTAGTCTTAAAAAGTGTGTGTGTGTGTGTGTGTGTGTGTGTGTGTGTGTGTGTGTCTGTGTGTGTGTATGTGTTTAAAATCTAATCAGAATCAGGACTCACCTTTGAATGGGCATAATATTCCAGAATTCTTACAGCTTCAAGAATAGTGGTAGAGGCTCAGATGGGAAGCCTTGCTGAATTTCTCTCAGGGAAAATTGCATAATTTTCACTTCCACAGATGGAAATAAAGTTCCATACTATTCATTCTGCCTTTTGGACAAGTGACATCCCCTTTCAAGGAAGAGAAAGATACAGGGAGCAAAGGAGAGCAGAAGGTTGCATTCATACAACATTCACATGACCAAAAGAAGGGAAAGGTAAGTAAAAATCAAAGAACAAAAAAGAAAAGAAAAGAGCCTCATACAAAAACAAGGAATTCAGGCATCAGAGCCCATATATCCTAAAGGAAAGAGGTCTGAACTGGAAGAAGTAGGTTCTAGTCCTCATTTTCCCACCAACTAGATTAGTAAGTGTGGACAATTCTAACATCTCCCAATTTCCTCACCTTGCAGTAGAGGGGGCAGCTTAAGTCTAGGGGAATGAAATGAACTGAGAGAGAAGATCTGGGTTCTAGTCCCACATAATGAGCCATCTGTCTTCAGGGCCTGGGTCTCTGCTGCCCATCATCTCACACTGTGAAATTAGATAGATGTGATGAAAACACTGCAGGACTCTTCCAACTCTGACAATTCATCAGATCGACACAGCGTCCGGCACGCAAGGTCCTCCAGACGGTGGATGCTGTGCAGATGCTACACATCAACATTTTGCATACTCCTAAGTCCCACCATCACTGTTTTCAAGCTAAAACTACCCCTCCCTACACGTCCACAGACATCCCTTCCAGCTTGTTGCTTTAGCCTTAGTAATCAGACAACAGCACTCCCAAATTGTCTTTCTACCCAACTCAAATTAGGCCTCAGATCAGAGGAAATACCTACTTTTTAAAAAATATACGAATATAATTTTTCCTCAGGCCGATCTTGTCTTGAAATCCCACTGTAAGAAGTACTCCCCTGGGAAAGCAGCTGTCCACACCCCCCAATTAAAGTGACCAGCACTCCCAACAACGTGTCCCATCACCATGCAAGTGAGCCAGCCCACAGGCTGTACGCCCCAGGTCTGTGAGCAGAAATGCCACTCATCCAGCAGTAATGATGTACTCACGCGATGTCCGGCCCCCCCAGGCGGCTGGCCCTCCACCAGCCCTCACTCCCACTTGCAGGCCCTCAGTCCACTACGGGACACAGCAAGGCGGTGGTCTCGAAGCCTGAAGGGAACAGAACTGAAATATTCTCGCCTCAGCTTCCAGAACAAGGGGCAGAGGAATGAAGGGGGAAGGGTGGGGGCGGGGTGGGGGACGACTTTGTTTCTGGAAACAAGAATTCAAATCCTGCTTCTCCTAAACCCTGAGTCACCTCCCTCTCTTCCAATAGATCAGTCGGGTGGGTAAACATTTCCAAATATGGAGAAGCAGGCTGGAGGATGTCAGAAAAATCACCCTTCTCTCTCCTCTGGCACTTGAAGAACATGCCCCAGTTTCAGACAGAATTCCTTACTCGGAGTAAATTATTAACCGCTAAAGAAGTGGATTCTCAACCCTTCCATACACTGTCCAATTCCAGGAAGAAACCTCCTCCACCCCAAACAAGGAAGTGACTGGTTTGAAAGGCTTTAAGCTCATCTGAAGAATGAGACCATCCAGAATGCAACGAAATTTATGAAATAAATCATTAATTCGGTGGGGGGGAGATATTTTGGGAGATGCACCTGAAAAGGTTGCGAGAATTTAGTCTAAGGTTCCTATGATGGAAGGTGAGTCTTAAAACAACTCCTCCCGGCCAGGCACAGTGGCTCATGCCTGTAATCCCAGCACTTTGGGAGACCAAGGCGGGAGGATCACCTGAGGTCAGGAGTTCGAGACCAGCCTAGCCAACATGGTGAAACTCGGTCTCTACTAAAAATACAAAAATTAGTCGGGCATGGTGGTGGGTGCCTGTAATCCCAGCTACTTGGGAGGCTGAGGCAGGAGTATCGCTTGAACCCGGGAGGTGGAGGTTGCGGTGAGCCATGACCACACCATTGTACTCCAGCCTGGGCAATAGGAGTGAAACTCCTTTAAAAGAAAAAAAAAAAAAAATCCCAAGTCTCTTGCCCCCAAGCCCAGAGTCTCTTGGTATGGGAGTCCTCCTGAGAATGTAGTTTGGCATGAGTCCTTCATGGGCACAGACACTGGGCTAGGAGACTCGGAATAAAACCAGACTCTCAGGAGAACACTGTTGTCGGGAAAAGTGGGGGTGAATTGCTCAGTTTAACTTGTAACATGGATTCCAACCCTAAGGTTCTATGATGACTAAGTTGGAGCAGTGAAGCCAATCAGGAATGAATCTAATCTAAAATGACTCCAGACTGAATTAAAGGAGGAGAAAGAGAGATCAGACGCTAGGGAAAATGGAGATGTGGGGGTGTAGGAGGTGCTCCGAGATGGGAATCCAAGTACCACATCTTGGCTTCCCAGTGGTTCTGTTTCTTAGTGATCTCCTCCTACTGTTGGTTGTAAAGGCTTTCTGGAGGCCAGATGAGTCCTTTTTCAAAATCATCACCCATTTCCTGGCTTTGCACTGCACCAAGAGGTTGCTTGTTCTCACCCCCAGGAAGTCTTCGAGCTACAAACAGCACTGATCAGGGCATGAAGGGACCCAAGCCCCAAACCCCAAGCCCAGATCAGTCAGTCATGAAGATTTCAGACGAGTCAGTGCTCCTTGTGTAGCTTACATATTTTTCATTTACAAATTAAGCAGATATCTAGGAATGGTCCAATCATGTGCTCTAAAAGCAGCTTCTACTTGGTCTATCCAAAGGGTCATTACACATTTATTTTGATTATTTGTTTTATACTTAACAAGCATGCCATAAGCAAACATTTATTATTTATTGCACACTTAACAAAGGAACACAAATATAAGTTACTATTAAAACAGGTAAGGAAACAGAATCAGAGAGCCTTCCACTGCATACCAGAACCAGAACTCAGGACAGAGATCTTGCCATTGCAACCCTCCTCAGGGGGTGGGCGTGGGATGTCAAAATTAGGTCTGGAGAGCAAAAAGGGATGGTCTTCATTCTGTCAGGAGCTCAGAGTCCCTTCCTGAATCCCATAAAGGAGCATTTCAGCAAAGAAAGGAGATTATTCCATGGAAAAGAGCTTCTGGGAATGGTCTTAAGCTCTAAAAACCAAAGACCAAGGGGTGAGCCACAGAGATAAATATGAAAACCAGAATGAAATACTTTAAATGTACCCTCCATCTTACAAACATTTGGAGATCAGTTTCCACATCTACATAGAGACCCTTCAGTTCCTTCAACATATGTGTGCCTCTCGTCCTCCCAGCTCTGTGATCTCAAAATGAGAAGTGGCCATAAAGGCCATTAAGCCCAACACCTGCCGCATTGGTATTCCTGAGGTCTCCAGTGACGCAAAGATCATTATCTCCTGCCGCTACAAATTCCATCTTTCCGTCAGAAAATTCTTCCTTACACGGAACTGAAATCTGGCTCCTCCTTGGTCTTCCATCCCTTGCTCCACGTTCTGCCTCTCAGGACCATATGTCAACCTATGTCTGTCTCATTGGTTTGGAATTTTTGCAGGTGAATATGTACACTCGTTCCCTCAGTATCCTCAGCATCCAGGGGTGATTGGTTCCAGGACCCCTGAGATACTGAAATCCAGAGATGCTCAAGTCTCTTATATAAAATGATGTAATATCTCCTGTATACTTTAAATATTGTTCTAATACCTACATAATACCTAACAACGCAAATGCTATGTGAGTATTGTTATACTGTATTGGTTTTTTTATTTTTTTGTTGGTTTTTTTTTTTTTTTTTTTTAATATTTTTGAGCCTTGGTTGGTTGAATCCATGGATGCAGAAACCATGGATACAGAGGGCTGACTGTATATAGAAACAAAGCTACCCAAGACCTCAGCCCACAGTCACTCTGGTTGTTCTCCTGACCACATCACACTGCTGACTTCTAATGCATTTTGTGCCAACTTGAAATCCATTCTTTTATGGATTTTTCCAGTGCCATTTAGCACATATATTGCCATTTAGCCATTTATATTACTCACAAGTCATACCCTACTAAACACCCGTCAGATGGACTTGTCTACTTTATTGAGAAACAACAGAAGATAAACCTGCATGTCCAGCTGTTCGTCTACCTCCACCCCACAGCCCAAGCCACATTCCCACCGCTTGTGGATGAAGCCCAGGGATGCAGATCCCATTCCAAGATCCCCGCTCCTGTTCTCAGATCCTGCCAAACCGAAAACTGTCTCCAGGACACAAGGCTATTCCAAGCAACATTAAGAGAGAGCTCTGTAGGAAAAGAGGATCTCGTCAACACAATTCTCAGAATAACAAAGCAGCCAGCAGGCAGGGCAGCAGGGTCAATTTGCTAATCACAGGGCTGGGAGCTTGTGATCCCTGATAGCATCATTCTAAACCTGTGTCTTTCTAAAAAGAGAGAAAAAATGTTATTTTCTTTCACAGTTCTGATGGCACTGTTTGCCTTCAAGGTCCATGTAGTAAGTACAATGACGCCTCCCATTATTAGTGTGTTTTACCTTTTATTAAATGATTTCCCAGTCTCATTGAATCCCTTCCAACAACTATCCCAGGAAGTAGTATTATACCCACATTTAGTGATAGGAAAACTGAGGTTCAGAGAGGTTAAGTATATTCCCAAAGTCACACCAGCAATAAGTAGCAAAAGAAACACTGGTTTAGGAGACTCCAGTTCCAATTCTGGAGACTCCAGTTCCAATTCTGCTACATACAAACTGTTTTAACCCTGGTTAACTTAATTCTAAACCTCAGTTTCTACACCTGAAAATTGGAGATTAAAAGAGCCACTCTGCTTATATCTCAGAGCAGTTATAAGGATCATATGAGATAATGAGAGTGAAAGCCCTATGGAAAAGGGTAAGGCGTTATAAAAGTGTAGGGGATTATTGTGTGATTACTTGCAAATGACTGTGCATTCCATTACAAATACAAAAAGCAGTGAGATCATTCGCAAGACAAAGAAACATTAAGGCTCTGGGAATTAAGGGAAAATGATTTGATGTTCTACGGGGTTATGTCTATATGCCACTCACTCTTGCAGTTCAAAGCTCAGCAGCAGCTGTCAGATTTTCCAACTCCAAGTCACATATGTCTACAGGATGGCTCAAGACAAAATCTCCCTTTTCAGCTAAAAGCAAATGCTGGGCCAAAAGGAGGTAATAGAGATGGACGTTTCAAAGACCCCCTGAGATTCTCAGTTCCGGAAATGTGGCCTGCGATGTTTTCCTTGGAGAAGCTGTTAGAAACACAGGCTCCAGTCTCTCTGAAATAAGC